TTTAACTCAACAGTAAAATGGGTACTTGGTTGTAAAAACGATTCTTCGTGGGGGTCGTATTCCAGGGACCCGCCCGAAACGCTACGCGTACTAGTGGCTGTACAAGAATGTAACAACTTGTATATATCTAAAATATAAAATATAAAAACATTGTTACAGATAAATAACTGGGTACTGCCTTCCGAAACATAACTCTTGGCTCTCCATACCCACACTTACCAGTCCGCTGCCACATTCCTACGCACACCCTGCTCTACTACAGCGGCACAGCCTTGATCTAGATACAGTATATGTTAAATCAATGTTACTATTCCTGGCTCACACACATGGCGGCGGACAGGTTCATTGCTGGCATGTGGCCCAGTCAGGGAACACTGGCCGCTATCCCAATGACTGTAATATCTCCGTTGTTTAAACAATTATGTATTAGCGATAAGACCTACCAGTAATGTATAATGTTTTACTGTAAATATATAGCTCTTGAAATGGAGCATTTTCTGTAACTAGCTGACATTGTAATTATACGGTGTGAAGGATAGATGAAATTATGAATGTAATACTCTCCGTTGAGGTCTGATAAAGACCTTTTGTGCCATCTGTAATGCTTTTTGCGCTACCGCTCACAGGATGAGTATGGGGTGCACAATAAACTAGTCACCTACGGCGGCAACAATCAAAATTATATCCTCGCTCCTCACACTTGAATTATTAGTATAAGAATTGTTATATGGTGTACTTAACCTAGTTGTTCTTCCGGGGGTTGGACTTTAGATTTTGGTAGTACCTTTGAAACAATTGTGCATAGGCTATGTAGTAGAGCCCACTTGGCTTTGTCTTATCTACACTTAAAGCTGTGTAGTGTGCCTGCTCCACTTAATTTAACTTTTTAGCGCATCCCATTTGTTCACAATGTCTTAGGCTCATTCAGGCACTAAATGGTTTATCCTTGTTTACCCTGTGAGTTTCGCCGAGACTTTTGTACCTTATAATCATCTCTCTCCTTTATGTGACCAACCTTGAATGTGTGTGTGATATATATACCAGTGGTGATGAGTTTGGCGGAATATCGGGTTATCAGCTAAACTGTAGTAGCCATTTGTTTTGCCATACTTTAAGTTTGTCTAGGTCATCATCTTTCTTGCAATCGTCTTCCGTATTTGTGTCCCTCGTAATTTTGGCATCATCAACAAACATTAGGGCATGAGAATGGAATGTAATCCCCTCTAGTAGATGGTTTACGTAGATACGGATAAGGATTGTCCATTGTACTGATCCCTGTTGGACGCTGCTTTCATCGTCTCTCCACGCTGAGGTATCTTCCTTCGCTGTGGCCCTGCCTTCTGTTGTAGAGATACTCCAGTATCCTCCGGAGCACCTTTCCCCTCTCTCGTGCTTGTTGCTCCATCTTGTGCACTAGTTTTCTGTGAAGGGTAATGTGTCGAAAGCTTTCTGACAGTCCAGAAATATACAACCTGCCCACTATTCTCTTAAATATTGTTTGATATCGGTTGCCCGGTCATAAAATGGGATACCACAGGGATACCCTGTGGTATCCCTCTCATGCCTGGCCCTGTGGTATCCCTCTCATGCCTGGCCCTGTGGTATCCCTCTCATGCCTGGCCCTGTGGTATCCCTCTCATGCCTGGCCCTGTGGTATCCCTCTCATGCCTGGCCCTGTGGTATCCCTCTCATGCCTGGCCCTGTGGTATCCCTCTCATGCCTGGCCCTGTGGTATCCCTCTCATGCCTGGCGCTGTGGTATCCCTCTCATGCCTGGCCCTGTGGTATCCCTCTCATGCCTGGCCCTGTGGTATCCCTCTCATGCCTGGTGCTGTGGTATCCCTCTCATGCCTGGCCCTGTGGTATCCCTCTCATGCCTGGCCCTGTGGTATCCCTCTCATGCCTGGCCCTGTGGTATCCCTCTCATGCCTGGCCCTGTGGTATCCCTCTCATGCCTGGCCCTGTGGTATCCCTCTCATGCCTGGCCCTGTGGTATCCCTCTCATGTCTGGTGCTGTGGCCAGGGTTTTGTCATCAACCTTTGTTCTAAACAAAGGTTATTGGCAAGTTATAAGTTTGTATTATAAATCATTGGTTTGAAATATAAAAAGTATAAGCTGAAAATGTTTTCTTGGGAGAATTTGGTTTTCTGTAAACGGAATTATTGGGTACACTCAAATAGATTTTGAATTTCGACTATCATATTTCAGACTATCGTCAATAATACACCTTATTAACGTAACCAAACATAATGAAACCGTAACCTAATCTAAGCATGGATAGAGAGTAGATAATAGCACTAATTATGTAGCATTTCTCAATTCATTCTAGTGAGCTTATTTCCTCCTCCATTGACCCCATCCCTAGATCTACAGTATCGGCTATGTATGCAGATAATGGATCCGAAGAGCCTTCGCTTACCGGCTTACCATACTTGGAACTTATTGTTCTCAGTAGCTGAATCTAAAACAATAACTTATTTCCTCCCTGAGGACAGGTGTCATGTTGCCATTTCTTCGTGGGCATTTCAGGAACGTTCTTGCTATGCTCCTTATCTATTTTTTAAGAAATATACCAAATGCGGGAGATTGATATTATTCTCCTTTAAATGGTTAAAGGAGAATTAATCGCTTGTGTATTATAGTAACTAATACTGCATAGTTAGTGAGGTCTGGCTAGAATAAAACATCGGTATTGCTGTTGCTATTATATGTAGAAATATTAAGAAGTAGCGTTGATGAAGCAATCCCGTTATTAGGATGCGTCTAAGGGAATGACCCATTTAGCACCTGGCCGCGGCCTTGGTCCAACTGCACTCTCCCTGCTGTGTGCAGAAGTTTACGGGCTCACCATAGCCCGTGCTACATGGACACTTCGTCCTGAGTAGCTAAATCTTTAACAACAACAACTGTGTGCAGTTGGACCTTGAAGCACGCCTCACACTCATATTCTCCCGCTCCTCCAAGGTCGTTAGGTACGACTTTCAGCTTGAACCCTTGCCAACAACTTTATCATTTACTGCGTGTGAATTATCCCGTTGTTACACATGTGTTCATTAATTTTTACAGTACACAAGAAAAGCTTTTATAACTTCAGCATTTCCCAATTAACATTACACGTTATGTCCAACCTGGGTAGTGTGGAGTTTTGAAGCTAATGGCAACAGTGTGATTATTGCTGTTCTGGTGTTGTCATGCGTCTGGTACAGTGTACTGATTGATAAAGATTAAGTCACCCAAGAGGTGGCACGGGCATGAATAGCCCGTAATGGTACAGTGTAATATCAGGGCGGCTTATATAGGCTTATGCGAGGCGCGATGCACACACGGGAGACTCGCAGACGGGAGACACCCTGTGTAATCTTCCCTCACGCAGGGTGCAGTCGCACCTCCACAGATCTCCAGTATCAGCTCTTGATACTGGTAATGGCTCAAAAGGGCCACCACTTACGGGCTATTCATGCCCGCGCCACCTTTTGGGTGGCTTAATCTTCATCAATCAATCAAGCGATGCACAATTGTTAGTCTGAAAATCTATAGAGGATACCTTGCCTACCTTACTTGATAGCAGACAGTGTAAACGCTGAAGGAATTAAACGTAGTAAATGCAGTAGGGCCAGACGTATTTCTATGGCTTCAAAAGGAGCAACTTAGCATTTCTTATTGTCGCTAACGGAAAGCCTTTTTGGCTTAGTTGAGGTTCGCCAGCCAAGGACATATTTTCCCCAGGATGTAACCAAGAACAAGTAGAAAACAGAACTCGAAAGTCAGGAGATTTAAAACTGCACAAGGTCCACAGCTCAGAGGCGAGCCATGGCGACATCAATCCCGCGGTGTCACTCTTACTTAAGGCTCGAGCATGAAGCGTGATGTGGTCCATCTTCCCTCGTCATGGTACTGTTGTCCCTGAGGTCCCTGAGGGCGGGAGTGTGGTCCACCTCCCCTCGTCATGGTACTGTTGTCCCTGAGGTCCCTGAGGGCGGGAGTGTGGTCCACCGTCCCTCGTCATGGTACTGTTGTCCCTGAGGTCCCTGAGGGCGGGATTGTGGTCCACCTCCCCTCGTCATGGTACTGTTGTCGGGGTGAGTCGCATACACTGGTGAATTCGTCCCAAGAGAGAATACAGCGCTGCAATATACTTGTCGATTGACAGTTGAGAGGCAGGACCAGAGCCGGAGCTCAACCCCCTGTAAGCACAATTAGCTGAACGCAATTAGGGGATTGCAATCCCGCATTAACAATGTCGGGATTGCTCTCCTCTATACTCGACTTTCGGTTTACGGAAATGTCATTCTGATGATTTTACTTTTATACAAAGAGCCAAGAGAATGTCAGCGGTAGTATGTACACAAAGCTTGAGTAAATATGTTGACCACGGCTCGTCTAGTGTCGCCTCGGAGACCTAGTGATACGAATGATAAGAAATTTTATCAGAGGCTATTTTTCCCTGCATGTGTAACTGTTTCACGATTTGTTATGCGTTGAAATCGAATTATTTTTTGTTTAATCAGAAGCGTAAGAACTTAGATAACCCACCTAACCTATCCCCATAGTGCATGCTGAGTTTACGAGTGCTTATTAGAAGCGGGGCAATAAAAAGCTTGACCTCACTTCTCTGTAGTAACTTATGTCGGCACCTGTCTCCAAGGCGAGCCATCCTGCGTCATGCCACTGGGATCTGTCAACAGGATCAGATAATATCACCCTTCATACAGTCTAGGGTAGCCGTATAAATGCGGTTGTACCTAAATATTGTGTAATTAAAAAGTAAATAATAGTGGTCAAAGAATTAAATACGCAGTAAATCGACGGAAAGGTATCAGAGTTGCCGAGTAGAGATTAATATCGCATCACTTAATACTCGTAGGAATGTCTTTATCGGGGTTACAGCGTGTGCCTAGAATGCTGTTAATGTTAAAATGTTGTTGTAGCATATGGAGAGAAGGTAGCATAATGTTTGTTGTACCGTAGAGGCGGTGTGTGTGTGCAACCTGGGGAAGCTGCCTGGTGCCAGCCCTGCTGCAGTGTGATCCCCGTGGCCCTGGCGAGTGCTTGTGCAGCTTGGCGTCTGCTCAGTCCAAACTTGGACCCCGTGCCCCAGTCTTGCTGGGGGAACTGGTGCTAGGTCCTCATAACTACTGCTCGTGTTAGGTGTCACGGAGACAGTAGTCACTGTGGGGCGCTGGTAGGAAGCTGTATCGGATTTCTAGTGTTACGGATTTGTGTGACAATTATTAACGTGCAGACTGTCGCCGGGGATCTTGTAAACAGTATATGATTGATGAAGATTGATCAGTCTTCTCTCAAGACTGGTCAAGTGTTACCTGCGAGGCAGACAGGTGTGATAAAGGTCATTAATAGGCCTAAGGAAGCTTGTGATGCGGGAGACAAGTTTGTCTAGATTACAGTGTTTCGTAAGTATACCTCGTCTTGTTTAGAGCGCTCTTCCTGTCAAACTAACCAAAATACAGGTTTACTACCAAAGTATTTAAAGTAAATGTTATAATTCATATGATAGCCAAAACAGTTAAGATTTTAAATTTATTGCTGTGGTTAGCTATTTTGTATATCAAAAAGATAGTCAGAATTAAGCGATATGTGTTTTGTTACCTATAATTGTCCTTTCCGGATTGCGTTTACATTAAGTCGAGTGGTGTTGGAATCGTAAGGGAAATGATAGTTAAGGGAACATATAATTATTATCAAGAATAATTAAGTTGAATGAGAGGGTTGTCATAAGACAGGCCTTCTCGCTATTATAAGTGTCTTGCATGCACACTGTAGTCGTATTAAGAGATTGTTTTCTCAGTGGTAGCATAATAGAACTTTCTGACACTCGCCCATAAGATGGGAATTATTATGGGGTCCTAATAACTAAACTAAAATTCACTCGTCGTGTAAGCGCTTCTTTGGGATCGCGTCTGTTAGTGTTATAAAAGCTTTATAACTAGTTTATCAAGGTTGTAACTTTATTACCTAAATGAACTTTGGGTTCAGTACCCGAGCCCAATTATGTGCCTCTTTAACCTTTTCCACTACCGCTCACAGGATGGGTGTGGGGTCTACTACCGCTCACAGGATGGGTGTGGGGTCCACTATCGCTCACAGGATGGGTGTGGGGTCCACTATCGCTCACAGGATGGGTGTGGGGTCCACTATCGCTCACAGGATGGGTGTGGGGTCCACTATCGCTCACAGGATGGGTGTGGGGTCCACTATCGCTCACAGGATGGGTGTGGGGTCCACTACCGCTCACAGGATGGGTGTGGGGTCCACTACCGCTCACAGGATGGGTGTGGGGTCCACTATCGCTCACAGGATGGGTGTGGGGTCTACTACCGCTCACAGGATGGGTGTGGGGTCCACTACCGCTCACAGGATGGGTGTGGGGTCCACTACCGCTCACAGGATGGGTGTGGGGTCCACTACCGCTCACAGGATGGGTGTGGGGTCCACTACCGCTCACAGGATGGGTGTGGGGTCCACTACCGCTCACAGGATGGGTGTGGGGTCCACTACCGCTCACAGGATGGGTGTGGGGTCCACTACCGCTCACAGGATGGGTGTGGGGTCCACTACCGCTCACAGGATGGGTGTGGGGTCCACTACCGCTCACAGGATGGGTGTGGGGTCCACTACCGCTCACAGGATGGGTGTGGGGTCCACTACCGCTCACAGGATGGGTGTGGGGTCCACTACCGCTCACAGGATGGGTGTGGGGTCCACTACCGCTCACAGGATGGGTGTGGGGTCCACTACCGCTCACAGGATGGGTGTGGGGTCCACTACCGCTCACAGGATGGGTGTGGGGTCCACTACCGCTCACAGGATGGGTGTGGGGTCCACTACCGCTCACAGGATGGGTGTGGGGTCCACTACCGCTCACAGGATGGGTGTGGGGTCCACTACCGCTCACAGGATGGGTGTGGGGTCCACTACCGCTCACAGGATGGGTGTGGGGTCCACTACCGCTCACAGGATGGGTGTGGGGTCCACTACCGCTCACAGGATGGGTGTGGGGTCCACTACCGCTCACAGGATGGGTGTGGGGTCCACTACCGCTCACAGGATGGGTGTGGGGTCCACTACCGCTCACAGGATGGGTGTGGGGTCCACTACCGCTCACAGGATGGGTGTGGGGTCCACTACCGCTCACAGGATGGGTGTGGGGTCCACTACCGCTCACAGGATGGGTGTGGGGTCCACTACCGCTCACAGGATGGGTGTGGGGTCCACTACCGCTCACAGGATGGGTGTGGGGTCCACTACCGCTCACAGGATGGGTGTGGGGTCCACTACCGCTCACAGGATGGGTGTGGGGTCCACTACCGCTCACAGGATGGGTGTGGGGTCCACTACCGCTCACAGGATGGGTGTGGGGTCCACTACCGCTCACAGGATGGGTGTGGGGTCCACTACCGCTCACAGGATGGGTGTGGGGTCCACTACCGCTCACAGGATGGGTGTGGGGTCCACTACCGCTCACAGGATGGGTGTGGGGTCCACTACCGCTCACAGGATGGGTGTGGGGTCCACTACCGCTCACAGGATGAGTAAGGTGCTGCAAAATAGATGAACTAAGCTGAAAGTTATTGGATACAATGAATAAATGAATTATTGGGTACAACTTTTGCTCGATTATCGAGCATACTAAATGGGTCACAGCCGTTTTTTATGTGTAAAGATAGAAATTATTATAATTAGCTTGTATATTTGTCAATGTGCTCATGTATCGCAAAATTACCAATGACGACGTGTTTTGCTCTGAAGCAAGTAAAGAGAGATGAGATGAAACCTCGTGTTTCGCTGTCTGAAGCAAGCCTCTTGTTATAGTATATTTCACAGATGAAGATAAAGATCAACCAAGGGGGGAAATGATGTTGGTCGAGTTAGGAGTGAGGAACTGATTCAGAGGTATAAAACAGCCATAGAATTAGTTAGAAGCAAGGGAGGAATCCCGATCATATGTGGCATTCTTCCAAGAAAGAGCGTTAGGAATGAATGGATGTCGAGGGCACTTGATGTCAATTGCCAGCTGGAAAGATATTGCAAATCAAATGCAATATCTTTCATAGACAACTGGGAACACTTCTATGGAAGAAGTGAAATGTATGCTCGTGATGGGGTGCATCGATCGAGGGCTGGGGTTGATGCTGTTGCGAACTCGTTGGAACCAGTGGTTAGAGGCATTTGTTTGGGTTTAAACTGTTAGTAGATAGTGGTATGAGAATTGATAGGGAGGAAGGAGGCAATAAGTACGTGTTTGTTGGAGAAACAAATTGGCAAAAAGATCAGGTTAAGAGAAGGGCCTCAAAATAACAATTCACTTAGGGTATATTACACTAACAGTAGAAGTCTAAGAAACAAAATAAAAGAGTTAAATGCTCTTGTCTGCACAGAAAAAAAGATATTATTTCACCGAAGCGTGGATGAATGTAGAAAATAGAGAACTATTAGCAGAATATCAAATAAATGGATTTAAACTATTTCACACAGATATATTAGACGAGGAGGGGGAGTAGCCATATATGTTAGGGAAAATTTGAAATGTAGTCTCAAAGAAGGAATCAAAACTGAGCCACATACAGAAACTATTTGGATAGAATTATACGAAAGAGCAAATATTATAATAGGAGTTATATACAGGCCACCAAACTTAAACAGGATGGAAGCAAAGCATCTATGGGATAAAATATTTAGAGCATCTAGGTCTAGCAGTATTTGTATCATGGGTGACTTTAATTTCAGTGGAATAAATTGATGTAATAGAACAGGAAATAATGAAGCTGAAGATTTTCTAGAATTAATTGACGATTGCTTTCTTAGCCAACACATTAAGGAACCAACGCGGGAAAATAATACTTTAGATTTAGTGTTAACTAACAGGGAAACACAAATTAATGACATCGAAATAGGGAGTGAGCTAGGGAACAGTGATCTGGTTGATACCTGGTTGATGGGGTTCTGGGAGTTCTTCTACTCCCCAAGCCCGGCCCGAGGCCAGGCTTGACTTGTGAGAGCTTGGTCCACTAGGCTGTTGCTTGGAGCGGCCCGCAGGCCCACATACCCACCACAGCCCGGTTGGTCCGGCACTCCTTGGAGGAATAAATCTAGTTTCCTCCTGAAAATGGATCACAAAGAAATCAGATTTAGCATAAAATGGAATAGACCTGTACGAGAAAATTCTGTTAAAGTGCCAGATTTTCGAAAAGCTGATTTCAATAGCCCAAGAATTTTTTGGGGGCAAATAGATTGGAAAGTATTGGGCATGGGGGTGGGCCGGTCTTGGACCAAGACTCCCAGCGATAGGTGACGTAAAAGGGGATTTCGATGTGGATTCAAAATATAACTTATTTAAGAATATTCCAAACAAAGCACAGTAACGTAGTATACCATACAAATTGAATAGATCGAATACTAATGACCCAAGTGGATAACAAAGGATTTGAAGAACCTTATAGGTAAAAAGAGAGCGTGGTACAAAAGGATTAAGAATGGGGAAGTCAGTTTGGAACGGGAATTCGTACAACTGGTTAGAATTTTTAAAAAAGAGATAAGGAAAGCAAAAAGAACCTATGAAGTTCGCATAGCAGGGCAAGCGAAGACAAATCCTAAAGGGTTTTTTCAGTTATATCGAACTATGACTAGGGAAAGGATAGGTCTGTTAAAAACTGAGACAGGTCAAATAATGGATAATGACGAGGAGATGAGTAGCATTTTTAATAATATTTTGTATCTGTATTTACTAAAAAGGAACCTAACAATATGCCTTCAGCTGAACAAGTCTGTGGGTGGGGACGAGGACAGGTTGACTAGTTTAGCAGTTACCAGGGAGAATGTAATTAAACAAATAGTAAAACTAAAACCAAACAAATCCCCAGGACCGGATGAAGTGTTTGCCAGGGTGCTTAAAGAATGCAAAGAGGAGCTTTCCGAGCCACTGTCTACCATATTTAATAAATCAATAGAGTTAGGCAGAGTGCCAGAGTCATAAAAGGTGGCTAATGTAGTACCAATTTTTAAGAAAGGAGATAGATCACTTGCGTCAAACTATTGGCCAATTAGCCTAACGTCTATTGTGGGAAAGTTACTTGAATCGATAATTGCAAATCCCTCGATTGTTTCAAGCGTGGGTTGGACATGTATATGAGTGGGATTGGGCGGTTATAGATAGGAGCTGCCTCGTATGGGCCAATAGGCCTTCTGCAGTTACCTTTGTTCTTATGTTAACCATCCAGATTTTTACAATTGTTTATTTAATCCATAAGAATTTGAATATATGATCACATGTCTGTTGGTATACGATTTTCTTCATTTAAATGTTCTCGAGTATATTTGCAGTCAAGAGCAGATTTTGTCTTATGTCCATCACTTTTTTATTCAATATAATTAACATTATACCGTGCTCAATATAATTTCAGGTAACATTACTGGTTTAGTTCATTTATTATGTACCCCATACCCATCCTGTGAGCGGTAGTGGAATGCTTAGAGGCACATAATGGGCTCTGGAACTTAACGCCAACATTTTTTTAGTTAAGCATGATCGGCACTGAATGTCCCTTAATCGGGCTTCGTGTAGGGCTTAATTAAGACTTTTCAATCTCGTAAAACTGCCAAAGTAACTTACTGATCCTCCGGTGTGTATATATAATGATAAATGGGCTATATCCCTCGGTTTATACATCACTATGGTTTACAGCTGGTTAGCCCTAAGACTTTGGTAACTTTAGTGGTGTTGGTCCTCGTGGCGCGCGATGTGCCAGCATGTGGACTGACGTCACTGACACACCCTCGCGTGCGGCCAGCTGATTGGTGGCTTGCTTAACCTGCCTCCTCTGCGCCGTCCCTGATCAATTTATTAATATCTCTTGGCAGGAATTTTACCATGTGCTCTAGTTATCTACGTTAGTAAAATATGGAGCAAAATTTGTACTTGATAAATCGCATACTTTTTCCTTATGCATTCCTTAATGAAATAAGAGCATAAATAAGATTCCTCCTACCAGTATAAAGTGTCTTAGGTTTAACATTAGTTAAATAATACAAATGAAAATGTCAACTATAAGATGTTCATAAGTAATAAATATGGCTAGTGCAAAAATATTAAATGTTGTTCCCTCTTCCCAGGAAATACTGATCACCATAGGATTAAAGTATGTGTTTGCCGATTTGGCAAATCGGCAAACATTTGCCAATTTGTTTGGTTATATATATTGACAACCACAATCATCATGGACGAAAAGGTGGTGACCGAGGCTCGGTGAGAATCGGTGATAGTAAGAATTCGTTCGGAATAAAAGTAACCAATGGAGATTATTAGTATTGAATATGACAGCAGAGTTGCAGAATCTGTGGAACGAGAGAGTAATACTGCCTTACCCACTACTTTAGAGACTGTTCCAACCAAAAATTTATTAGAAATATAAGCAGTAAAATAAATTCCACACTGAGTTGGAAAAATACTTTGTCAAATATAGACAGATTCCCCACCTTGCAATAGCTAGATAACGCAAGTTTCTGGGTTTAATAAACGTTAATCTTGACTGTGAAGTGAAGAGATGGTCAAATAAATCGGTCTCGCTCTGAGTACAATGGACAGAATGAACAATGCTGTGGTCTACTGGCTATGCTACTGGCCCAAGAGCCTCGATTTACTAGATGAAAACCCCGCCCCACAGTATATAATTCCCAGATGAAATGCTGACCAGAAATCCTTCCCCCAATAATTGGAAAAAAAGTTTAGGCCTCCGAGCCTAAGCCTAGCAGTGATACACTGCAAACCAGGCATGACAGGGCAGATCTCATTGAAACTTTTAAAATACTGAAAAAGTTGGATGATCCGAAAAATTTATTTTGTTCAGGTGCAGCACATTAAAGGAGCAGCAGTTTTAAGCTCAACAGGTCACAATGTAGGAATAAGAACAGGAGATGCTCTTTCACCCACAGGGTTATTAACCCATGTAACTGCCTTAAAGCCGTAACTGCCAAAACTGCTGAATTTCAAAATATACCTGGAAAAGATCAAGGCAAATCTGGGGGTGGGGGGGTGGGGCTTGACAAGCCGCTGGCTTCCTGTCCTCGTTGAGGCCATTAGGGTTAATGGCCCTCGGGTAAATCTGGTAAATATCGGGTATCATGATGTGCTCACTCATGGATGCTTTTCTTGTTCACTCTTTAGTTCAACTAAATGCTGTATATGTTGTAGCTCTTATATTGATTATTAGTTGTCTTTTTGGGAAGCAAAGATGTTAATGCTGTATGATATTAAATGGTGGTAGTCAATGTACAAAATTAAGAAAATTATTAATAAATTTAAAAAGACAAACTTAATAGTTTTTTTTTTCATCATCAGAGTTGAAGATGCTACAGCAATGAGCCATAGTCTTGAAGGCCGGTCAGTTGCGGCGGTGATCAGCGACATCGCCACTCCAGCTATTAATGTTACAAGGCATAAGCCCCAGCCTATACAGTATGTCTATGAATTTTTTATTCATTTATTGTCTCTGGTAATCAAATAGTAGTACATGGTGCACACAACTGTTAGGTCTTTGATAAGTTTTATGTATTAATGTTTTTTATTGAACCCTTGTGAGCAGATATTTGTATTTAGGCCTATAAATATTATGATTTTAATACCTAGATTGGGTTCTGTGAGTTGTTCTTCTCCCCTAGCCTAGGGTCAAGCTCGATTTGAGAACTTGGTCCAATAGGTTGTTGCTTGGGCGGCCCGCAAACCCACATATCCAGCCATGGCTGGACGTATCAGAGGTCCATGGCTGTTCAAAACCCTCCCAGCAAACATTTGAAATATTGCTGGAACAAAGGTGGATGTTTTCAAGAAGCATTTAGATAAGTTCCTGCAAGAAGTGCTTGACCAACTGGGTTATAGTGAATATGTGGGCCTGTAGGCTGCTCAAAGCAACAGCCTGTTAGACCAAGTTATCACAAGTTGAGCCTGGCCTCCAGCCGGGCTCGGGAAGTAGAACAACTCTCGGATATCTTTCCAGGTATGCTCTAGGCATATACTGTACATATTTTGATGCATAATAAATTTGGTTTTAATGAAGAGAGTTCGTTTATAGTTATTTTAATATTAATGGGGGGGGGCCTTTGACAAGCCGCTGGCTTCCTGTTCATGTCGAGGCCACTAGTGTTAGTGGCCATCAGGTAAATATTAATTTCAATCATTCTGATATGAGAACATGGATTTCATATTCTCTAGGAAATACTAGAAATGTATTGAAAAGGTAATGAAAAATGTAGAAATAAAATAATAATAAATTTTGTCTATTTTAGAAGTGGTGATAGCAAAGAAAGTAAAGACTTGGGAGATGTATTGGCACCTTTTTCCATTCACAAAGAATCACAAGTGGGAGATGCGGTGTTATCTACCGAGGATACAGGCTTCCTCAAAGAAGAAGTCCAAGAAATAGATCAAGTAAGTGTGTCCAAAGCATTATTGGGAGAACATGTAGCATTTTAGGAAGATAAATGAAGAAACATGATTTCTAGTTATCCTGTACAGTACTGTGTTAGACTGTGTTTGTGTTAGAGACTGTGTTTACCTGAGCCACTAACACTAGTGGCCTCGACAAGAACAGGAAGCTGGTGGCTTGTTGAAGGTCCTCCCATTTGCCTTGATCTTTCCCAGCTGTACTTTAAAGATTAACAGAATTTGGCATTTACGACTTCGGTGGGTAGGCAGTTCCATGGGTTAATTACCCTGTGAGTGGAAAAGCATCTCCTGTTCTCAGTCCTACATTATACGAGATTATATAATATAATATATAATCATTATATGAGAGTACTGGGAAGACAGGACACCACAAGCATGACTCATCCTGTAACTACTGTACTTCGGTAATTACACCAGATAGATTAATATTATAACTATTTAATTCATTTGAATATTAAGATCCTACTCTATCTTCTCTAGTAAGGCAATTAGAATTCTCAACACTTGTGATGTTAGAACATAAGGGGCCAGTACTCACTCAATATACAGTAGTGATGAACTTCAGTGGAGACACCAGATCGTAAGTCTCCCTTCCCCTGTGATTGCCCACCAATCACCCAGACTTCTGTCTGGTCTGAGACTGCAGCACACACTCAAACAACTTTGTCCCTGGCTTTTGTTACTCAATGCCTCCTGTTTGTTAGATTAACAGACCTGAAGCTAGTAACTTCTTGGCAAAGGGAATAAAAACCTGTCATCCTTTGAAACTACCCAAGGTGGGATTTATCCCACCTACCTCACCTCCCTGGGACAGCCATAGGTTAGGTCGTCTCCACTCAGGTCACTTCAACAACTTTTACAGTAGAATGCTGGTTTTTCATTGTTTCAAAATAGAGCAACATAAAAAAAATTATAAATGAAAAACTATTGTGGCTTTTATTTTTCACAAAAGTGTCTTGGTATCAAAGTGTGTGGCAGTTTTGTTATACAGTACTGCACTATGGTTATCTTATTTAAAAAATTATTGAAAATTTATAGCATTACTTGTTCAATATGTTTTATAGGTATTCACACAAACTACATTAACACTATCGCGCGCCGTTCGTGCGCGCCACAGAAATGACGTCATGCGCTGTTTGGTGCGGGCGAGCGTGCGGCGACACCGAAAACGGTACACTCGTTTGAGTTTTCTCACCTTAATTCTCATGCTTCGTCATTTGTTTTGGTGTCATTGTGTTTGCAGTAGAATTCCCTATAAGGGTATATGCATATAAGATCCAAAAGCCCTCCGTGACTTCCCACAGCAAAGCCTAAAGTCGGCAAAGTTACCCGTGAGCGAAAATCAAAGAAAATCCACAAGGGCAATGAGGTAAGCGTGAACCTACGACCAAGGCAATGCCAAGCCACATACACTGCCCTAGTGGATTTTCTAATTGATATATACGTATTACGTTAATGTGATTAATGTGTGTGTTTCTGAAGTTGGAACGTAAGGTGTAGGACCACTCTGCCCTTCCACACGAGTGTTTGTGGGTCATGTGTAAAAACTTGGACTGGCTTCAATAGGGGCCTGCAGACTTCCTGTGATTTCAGTAGAAATCTGGCTTTTTGACTGTTACAAGTCAGCGGTGGTCTAGTGGTAAAGTATGCGCCTTGACAGTGCCTTGATCATAGGTTCGTGCCCATCTCACTGCCCTAATAGATTTTCTCTTTTATAGGTACAGTAATATTACACAGAGTACTGTATAAAAAACACTCAATTAAGATTACTGTATAAATGTACCTGTATTATTGTTTATCTAAATTTGTGTGATTGCAGACTACCTCACATGCACATCAGGTAATTATATCCCTGTTGGCTGGTGCAATGGCTGGAGCTGTGGCCAAGACTAGTATTGCACCTCTTGACAGAACCAAAATTAATTTCCAGGTTAGTTGCCTTTATTTACCTTTGTAATATAGGTATATTAGTTGAGCTTAAGCTGCCATTTAACCTATATTCTGTAAACCCTCGTGTATAATAAGATAACAGCCCAATGTTGTGTACCTAAACTTGTAAAAAATAATTTTTTTTTATTTTTTCAGGCCACCAATCAAAGGTTTTCAGCCCGTCATGCTCTGAGTTTTGTGTTAATTTGTTACAAGAAAGAAGGGCTGATAAGTTTGTGGCGTGGTAACTCGGCAACCATGGCTCGTATTGTTCCCTATGCTGCAATTCAGTTTACAGCTCATGAACAATTTAAGAGAGTTCTTAGAGTTGATGAACCAAACAGAGAGTAAGTAGAACTTCTATCTGTTCTTGCTGGTAATGTAACCAGTCAGTTGTTTGCCCAGTGACTGGATGGGTTATGGTATGTTGTATGTTCATCTCCATTACCAGTATTAAAATTTAACTCGTCAATTTTTTTTCTTAAATTTTAAATTAATATTTCAATTGAAATTCAAGATAAATTTTGCTTTACCCTTGGTGTGCAGCTTTCAGAGATGCCACTGTCTTAAAAAAATACATTTGCAGGGGAAAAGAAAGGAAAATGCACACTTGCAGTAAAAAAAAAAAAAAAAAAAAAAAAAAGGAAAATGGGGAAAAAAAAATTGCACATTGAGAGGATGCTGTGTTCATGGGAACCATTGGAACTGGACAATTTCGTTTACACAATGTATGTGGAATAACTAAATTTATATAAGTATAAGAACCAGGTAATTGACAAAAACAGTGGTTAGTTTATGTATATAGGCCTGCAACATATTGTAATATGTATACCTATATTGCACATAAATCTCTTCTTGGCAGAGTTCAAAGGAAGTGTCTTGCAACCCACTCCTTTGCTGATATGCTGTCTGGGAATGTTGTCCAAAAATAAATTCAAACACTGGCAGAATTTTTTTTTTTATTTGTTGGTAAACACAGGTAACTGGTACACGATGTCCTCATTACATAATAAGAAACTTAAAAAAAATTTAACCATGACCTGTGAAAAAAAAATTCACAGGCCATGGTTAACTCATTGCTTCCATATAGATGGTTTATAATCATAATAAACTAACCTACACATTAAATGAAATGAGATAGTTTCAGTCCATCCTGAAGTGGATTTATTTTTATGAACTTTCTGCCTTTTGTGGGGCCTTAATCCCTGCCCTTGATAATCTGTTTTTTTTTTTTTTTTTAATTTACCACATTCCTCATTGCTCTCTGCATGCCATTTTTGTCCCCGAATGCTAATGATGTTATTGCTATCTTTCATTTTGACGTTCTACACGTTCAAGTCCAACCACCGAATTCCCTATCTTCAAAAGGCCAAGGATTTGCTTTCTAACTCTAGGATATGTGCTCCTCTTGTGCAAGGTTCCAGTTCTTTGGCAGGATACTTTGTTCCAAAGTATCCAGCATTGCAAATGTTTTCCATTTAATAACAGATGTATTTTTAATAAAAATTTAAGTGTTGGGTTTCTCTTATACTTTGCAGAACTCCATCATCACTGAGATTTTTGGCGGGTTCACTAGCAGGTGTAACATCACAGTTCCTAACTTACCCATTAGACATGGCAAGAGCACGCATGGCTGTCACGCACAAGGATACTTATTCCTCATTAAAACAGGTTTGTTTATGTTTTGCTGTTGGTTCTCTCTGCAAAGCATTTTAAGCTGCACAAGATCATATATTTTTGGTTCAACAAAGCTGAACATTAAAACTTATCTGTTCTGAGAGCCGATGCCAATCTTACCATTGTCAGATTTAAGATCTCTCATGATGAGATAAGGTACAGTATTTTGATAAGATAGCAGCTTTGCTGTTGGATAGATTCACTTTAGCATTTACTAGGATTAAGATATCAGTGGTAGTGGTGAGCTGTCAATAGTCAACACGTGCTGGGGGTACCACTCTACACTCGTATTTTGAGTTCTTTAGATAGTTTTTAGATACGTTTATAATTCAGTACCTCTGAGTATCTTAGGGTACTATTACTGAGATTTAGGATTAGTTTGTGTGGTGTTAGTCTTGATAAGTCTCAAGCACCGTCACATGTGAACACACTAGACAAAAACAAAAGATTCTGAGACCCGAGCGGTTGCTTTCCTGGGCGGAGGCTACCCCTCTCCCAGTGAGGGTGGCCGACAAAGAATATTGATTAATTATTTTTATTATAATGTTATTGTAAGATAAATATAAAGTGACACCTCAGCTTATGAATGGCCCTATTTAGAAACTTTTTGGGTTACATGCCCAATTTCTTCGTAAAATTCAAATCAGGTTAAGAGCTTTTCCTCGGGAAACGAGTTTGTTGATATGCGTGTGGCCGACCTAGCTCGTGGTGGCACGGCGATCGCACCTCAGTTTACCAGTGCCTTCTGCCTAGTGACAATCATGCCTGAATTCTTTGTAAAGAATTTTTTGGGGGGATTTTCAAACCCCCTATGTTTTGCCTGAATACCACTAGGACCTGGTTGTGGTTCAGTGCTTGTCTCGCTACAAATTTGTCAAGAGACATTTGCTATCGTAAGTCAACGACACCATCGGATGTCAAGTAGCATTTTTCTATGAAATTTACATCGTAACTCGAAATTATCGTAAGTAGGGGCAATCGTAAGTCGAGGTGCCACTGTATACTGAAAACCTATGTTCTAAATATATGAAAATGAAGATCATATGCTATTCTGAGAGCATAATAATACCAAATGAACAGTTGATATTTTTATATATTTGCAGCTGATTTCAAGATGTGAAGTTTTCAATATTTAATTTTATAATTATTTTTTATTTTCTTGTTTTTCAAGTTACACTGGTATCATTTAGACAGTTAGAGCATAGTAGATTATGCACAAAAACCTAGTAGATTATGCACAAAACATTTGAAAGAGTTTCAGAAAATTTTAAAAACTGAGTTCAATGTTACACATCATATGACATTTTGCATAGTTTTTAAGGGTTAAAGGTAAGGTCTTCTGACATGAGTACACCCAAATCCTTCACATTGCCTTTTCGTTCTATGTTATTTGACTGCATTTTGTACGTGGTTTCTGCTTTTATATTTTCATTTGTTCCTGTAGCGCAAGAGCTGTAACTTACTTTCCTTAAATTCCATATTATTTTCTGTAGCCCATTGAAAGACCTGATTTACATCTGATTGGAGGTTTGATGTGCTCTCTATGCTGTTTACTATCATAAAAATCCTAGTGTCATCTGCAAAGGATGATACAGTGCTATAGATTGCGTCCTTGTCCATGTCTGATATGACGATGAGAAAATGTACTGGAGCAAGCACAGTACCCTGGGCTCTTTACAGTTGATGGTTCAGATTTTATTTTGTTGACTATTACACATTGAGTTCTATTAGTCAGGAAATTGTAGATCCATCTGTCTATTTTTCTGGTAATTCCTTTTGAGCGCATTTTGTGTGCAATATCACCATGGTCACGCTTGTCGAAGGCTTTTGCAAAATCTGGGTAAATTACATCAGCATTTTGTCTGTCTTCCATGGCATCTAATGTCATGTCATAGTGGTCCAGCAACTGTGGACCACTATGAGTGGCATTAGAATGCCCTATTCTGAAATCATGTTGTCCAGGGTTATGGAGATGCTGTGATTCCATGTATTTTTTGATCTTAGCGCACTCAAAGAATTTTATGATGTGTGACGTTAGTGCTATCGGTCTGTAATTTTTTTGCCTCTGCCTTATTTCCTCCTTTATGGAGTGGTGCTACCTCTGCTGTTATTATGTCAGGAATAATGCCAGTATCTAGGCTTTGTCTCCAAAGAATGTGAAGTGTCTGCAAGTGTTTTTTTACAGTTCTTGATGAATATAGAGTTCAAGGAATCAGGGCTTGGTGCAGAGTGCATAGGCATACTGTCTACGGCTTCTTCAAAATCCAGTGGGGATAGGATGACATTTGATGTATGATTTGATGTTGGTATCATATCTATGAAAAATTCATTTGGATTATCAATCTTCAGTGTGCTTAGTGGCTCGCTGAAAACAAGAGTCATACTGATAACTCAAAATTTCGCTCATTTCCAGTGAACGTTCCATCTCCCTTTTGCATGGGCCCAATACTAGATGTAGTTTTTGATCTTGATTTTGCATAGGGGAAAAAATATTTTGGATTTCTCTATTTCACTGATTGCTTTTTGCTCTCTTGGCCTCTTGGGTTTTGTATGATTCTTGTAGCTTTAGTTCAATCGTTTCTATTTCTCTACCTAACCTTCTTTGCCGTTCTTGAGATAGGGTGTGACACTCAAGTTGTTCCGCGATTTGTTTTCTTCGCTTATAGAGGGAACGACATTCCCTTTCCAATCTGCATCTTTCTCATTTTTCTTAGGGGTATGCGGTTTGAGCATATTTCTAGTGCTATTGGGCTTATTTTTTTTCAGGCATTGGTTCAGGTTTGCATTTTCTAGCTGTTCTTCCCTGCTTATTTGTGAGGTTTTAGTTTATTGGTTTATTATGGTTTATTAAAACTATGTGAAATGAGCAAAGTCATATAGGCATCCATAGGCCTAATGGCAGACATGACCATTGTGGTGTTTACATGGATGTAGGATTCTGATTGTATGATATAGTAGATAATACAGTTCTTAGATTATAATACTGGTATGGTGGGTGGAAATTTTCCATGGGTGGCATTTGGTAGATCATTTATGTAAATCATGCAAATGCATTGATATGACATGGTTTTTGTTTTTGATGTGTTAAAACATTTATGGTAAATTAGGTATTGCAGGCAGACGCGTTTGAATTATGCCCTAGTACAGCTGAAGTCTTGGCTAATTCACCAATGACATTTAAAGTTATGTTAAGGAACTTCAAAGGCACTAATATTTAAACGAGAGTAACAAAACTGTAAGTGACATCAAATTTGCAGTGGAAACAGATGATTGGTAGGATTCCACTAAAAGAGAGGTTGTTCCATATGCAGGTCTAAGGGAGTTAGGTTACATAAATACTGTTGTCTATGCTTGATGATCAGAATCACATGGAGGCCACCCATATTCAAGTTACACAAACATTCGACTTAGCCAAATTTCTTACAAGGAATGTCAACAAATAAACGACCATTTTCATGAAGTTCAATCACTTGTACAGTACCTCATCTCTAATGGATAACATAACTTTAAAGATGAGGTAACGCCTTTTAACACCCATGTCAATTGCTCTTACTACCAGACATGGTCTTGGCAAAAATTACCAAAGTTGATATTCAAACAAAGAATTTGGAAAAGAAAATCTTTTGGGAATAAAGTGACATGAAGTAAAATCATGCGAGGGAAGAACATTTGGCTGGCCTAGTTGACAGCGTCAGGACCTAATGTTCTAGTGGCTTTATTAACAATACACCATTATATACTTGCTCTGTTATTACTAATGTTAAATACTATGCCTCTACTGTTGCTAAAACTACAGATCTTATAATGTAGTAGTCTGTCATCATTGTCATCTTTATATTGTTTATAATTAGCTAAATTTCTTCAACATCTCACATGCATTAGCTTGCTTGCTTGGTTAATATTAAGTGTTTGCACCATTATACCTATAAACAATTGTAACTTATTTATTCTGAGCTTTGCCAAAAAACAAACAAATATACCTCTGAATTATGTTATGTATATTATTTATTTATTATTTATTAATTATTATTATTATTTAACCTTCAGGTGTTTGTTAAGATATGGAAGAATGAAGGACCATTTACTCTATATAGAGGTTTAACTCCAACCTTACTTGGAGTTATACCATATGCTGGTACAAGTTTTTGCATTTATGGAACTCTCAAGGAACATCATAAAGGTACAGTACATACTTAAAAATGTTTACATTGTGAATATTAGTAGTACTTTTAAATATTTTGGTTTTAAGAAAGGTTGCATCTCCTCTTGTTTCTTCTTGGTAATCAGCTAGTTGATCACTCATCTTGTATATAAGCTAATGATCTTTACATTTTATTCTATTGCCAAACTTGAGTGCTTATTACTATAATTAGTAATTGTGCAATTTTGTTGAGTGTTGTCTTTCCTGTATATTATGGAGGAATGGACTTCCCCCAAGAGACCATTCTGGGAGGTGGCTCAGTAGATTGCCAGCCAGACAGCCTGGAGAATCTCCAGCTAATACAATAAATCATTCATATAACAAGTATTTTTATAACTATTTATTATCCTAATAATATTACTAAACAAAATCTGTAACTAAAAATATATATGATGTGCATCCAGAATTTAAGAAGCAAATCTGGCTAGCAGGGTTGAGTGTGTTAGGCTTATCGGAGTGAGCCGGTCCCTCCCCAAACCCCCACCCCCCTACATTCCATACTCTCTGCTTCAGTGGTCGCATAGTTTAACTTAACACCCATCCCTCCCTCCCTCCATCCATCCATCCCTCCATCCTTATATCCCTCCTTATATCCATCCCTCCATCCTTATATCCCTCCTTCCATCCCTCCATCCATCTCCATCGTCTCCCTCCTTCCCCTCCCTGCCTACCTCCCAGCCTCTGCCTACCTCACAACCTCTGCCTACCTCCCAGCCTCTGCCTACCTCACAACCTCTGCCTACCTCCCAGCCTCTGCCTACCTCCCAGCCTCTGCCTACCTCCCAGCCTCTGCCTACCTCACAACCTCTGCCTACCTCCCAGCCTCTGCCTACCTCCCTACCTCCCTGCCTACCTCCCAGCCTGCCTGCCTACATTTCAGCCTCTTCCCTCCCTGCCCACTCTGCCTGCCCATCCACCCAGCAGTCAGCCATCACCGACACAATGAGTGCATTTGGAGCCGACATGGTGCACAGATGTTCCTTGATTTCACAGATATGTTCACCAAAGTCACAGAACGAAAGCTCCAGCCTCATGACAAATCAAAACAATGTGCCATGAATCTGTGATGTCACAGGGTAGAAGGCACTAGAGTGGTGGATCAAGTGGCTGTCTGTACAAAATATATCTTACCTGAATGTTACTTGTAATATTACCGATACTTAACAACTTAGGAAATACCGGAGCCCCGCATTTAACGGCCTGGGTACAGCCCCATATAGGCCGTTAAATCGAGTGGATACTTATCTTGGTTAGTCAAGTGTTGTAAATTGCAGCCTCTGGAAGGTTAGTAGTTGAACTAGACAGACCTCAATAAGCCCAAGTACAAGCTTCCTCTTCCCAACAATTGGAATTACTGTAATAAGTTGTCAATAAATAATTGGAGTTAATAAATCAGTCTTATCTGAACACCTCTGTATAGGGATTGTTTGAATAATGTGTGATGTCAAAGTAATCATTTTCGTACTGCCTCTCTGCTTCTCTCCTCACTCTGATGTACTGTACATGGGAATGTCTATAGGCCATTGCTCCTCATGCCTCTCTGAGGGGACCAGGTTCCAGCGCTGGTCCCCGGTAGGCATAGAACTCCATCGATTGATTGTTGCCATGGTCTAATATATACACATCACCCTGGTATAGCTCCGGGAAGCCTCCGGGTCTTGCCCAAAAAATGGTGTTTCATTACATTCAATGCTGGTTTTATTTACAAATTTGGCTAATGAATCAACTATGCCTTTGTATCTGATATTTTATAATTATAAAAAAAAATTCTCAGCTTATTCCAATAGAGACAAACCAAACCCATTAGAAAGAATGATGTTTGGTGCTGTGGCCGGATTAGTGGGCCAATCCTCATCTTACCCGTTGGATATTGTTCGGAGACGTATGCAGACTGCAAATGTTACTGGTAATGGAAATTCATACAAGACTATAATGGGAACACTCTCTAAAGTATACAGGTAAGAGGAAATGTTGCAGGTTTTGTAAATTCATCTCTGTTCAAGCTGTAGAATGAATTTTTACTACACATGTATAATTTTGCTAATAAGTTATTAATGTTTTGTTGCAGCTTAGTCACTCAGAACTAAAACAAATGTTATGCTATACTGTACAGTATAGTTTTCAGGGATACAATTAACTTAATTGGAATGTTTTCAGTCCCATTTTTAGTAATGCTGTATTTAGGATGTCCCGTAGCCCTTGCCATGTCTCTTACGAAAGAAATATTAATTAGTGAACTTAACACTTTGGCGTGCCCCATGCGCCACCCCTCAACTGTGCGATTTGGGTCCCAGCGTTTCACGGGAGCGCGCGTTAATTCTGAAAAGTGTATACTCTTCAACTTTGTCACCTTAATTCTCGTCCTACGAGATTAAATTTGGTATCATTGTGTTTGCAATAGAATTCTCTACAGCACTAAATGCATATAAACTCCAAAAGCCCGGCTATTTACCCGCAGCGAACAAAGAAAGTGCGAACGAGTTACCCAGGAGCGTGCAAAAGCGATAAAATGTGTTCACTCTTTTCACTCTGGTCACCTCAGTTTTCGTCCTAGGTCTTTCATTTTGTTATCAATGGGTTTGCAATAGAATTCTCTAGAGGAACATTAGCATATAAAATAAAAAACCTGGTCACGCTCCACCCGCCGACGAGTTGGAAGACGGGCCACGCGTTAATCGCGAGTGAGCGCCCAGACGCCTTCCAGATACACTCCCAATTCCTGCCCACAAATGTTTAGTATTTAGTATTTTAGTATATGTAGTACTGTCTCCACTCGATCATCCGGACTATATGGGAAGGACCCCCAGCCGGATTATCACATTTTTCGGATAATGGTACTTTTTCACCTACGAGTCCAAAAGTGACCATTTCCAACTATTTTTATACTACAAACAACATAATTTGAATTGCCTTGCCACATACAATTATTAAATATTCAACTAGAAACCTCAACTTACCTTGTTGGTGTTCGTCTTCTTGATTGATGCCACACATCTTGAAGTTAAAAATTCTTAACAATTTACGTAACCTATACTAACACAACACTAAAATTAACACTTAAAATTACTGTACAGTTCATTAAGCTAAGTTAGTTTTGACTGCCAGCTGCTGAAGCCTCACTGGTTGAGGGCATTTGGGTTGCCTGTGAGGCCTCACTTGTTGAAGGTGCTTGCTTGCACCTCACTTGTTGAAGCGCTTGCATGCCCTCACTTGTTGAAGGCGCTTGGCTTGCCTGTGACGCCTCACTTGTTAAAGGCGCTTGGCTTGCCTGTGACGCCTCGCTTGTTAAAGGCGCTTGCTTGCGCCTCACTTGTTGAAAGCGCTTGGCTGCCTGTGACGCCTCACTGTTTGAACAACACGTAACTTGTCTTTAATTGCTAGGACAATCTTCTTCCTCTTAACACTTCCAGAACGATTGATGCTGCTACCAGACATATTCTTGGCCAAAAATGTTCAAAATTACTATGAAAATTAAGAAAGTTATTTAAAAAAATATTTCACTAATGGCGCAACACTGCGAGGCCGCACTGGTTGAGGTGTATAACTGTGACTTGTCTTTTATTGTTAGGACAACTTTCTTCCTCTTAACACCTCCAGAACGATTGATGCTGCTACCAGACATAGTCTTGGCCAAAAATGTTCAAAGTTACTATGAAAATAAAAAAGTTATTTAAAAAAATATTTCACTAATGGCGCAGCACTGTGTATAACACGAGGGACGGACGCACATGGGTTGACCAGTGTTGGACAGGTCCACTTGGGGCAGCCATAGCGCGTTACGTAGGCCGCCAGGAGGAAAAAAATTCACAATATTTTTGAAGGAAACTTCAGCCTGTGCACAATGCTTTTAGGAAACTTATTTATTTGTTATTACATAATTACTAGTAGTTATTTTATTTGTTTTTGGCTATGATTAATTGTTCTAAAATTAATGGTAATTCCTGTACCCAGGTAGTCCCTCCTGACGCACCCCTCCCACCCTCCCAACACCACCCACCCACCCACCCCACCCCCACCTACACCATGCGCCTCGAGTCTCGGGCAGACGGGATTAATACCGTATGGTCCGCCTCATGTTTTCATATACGGACAAAGGCACGATTATCCGGGGGACTGACCGGATAGTGTAATTTCTGCAGAAAATCTGCTTTAATCCGGTCCCTGTGGCTATTTTGGCCGGATATTGTGATAACTTTATCCGTTCACGATTTTGGCCGTATAAGGGCGTTTTTCGGATGTTCGAATCCCGGATAATCGCGGGGTTACAGTATTATAGTTTAGTATTTTTTGTGTAGTAGTTGTACATCACATAAGCATTGTAGATAGCCATTTGCACATAATAGATGGTCATTTTCTTCATCCATTTGTGAGTTTTCCTTATGAAGTGATATTTGATCATTTGGTCAGAGTGATCAACACCTTTCATGTTTGTATTGTAGTCACAGATTGCATTCGGCTTGTTGACAGTTACCAAACAGTCCCCAAAAAATTGGATAAAAACCTGATTTTTGGCAATTATTTTAGTGGATGACGCAATGCTGCGTCATCCCTGAGATTACCGACAGCAAACGGATGACGCAATGCTGCGTCATGCCCGAGATTACCGACAGTAAACGGATGACGCAATGCTGCCTCATGCCCGGGCGAAAGTGTTAAGAGGCTCCATGAGGACCCAATACAAGTTTGTTGAAATATGTATATGCAATAATAAAACATGCATATAAATTCTTACCAAATCTATGATGGAAAATAAGCCTACCAATCCCCCCGCTCAATTTAAGTCATGCCATAGTGGGTGAAAAATAAACTGTACAAAGAAAAAAAAATTGTAATTAAAGTTTAATTACAGCTTTTAGCATGTATGGATGTTACTGTAGAAGTAAACAAAGTTGCATCTGTTATGTTATCTATTGTAATGCAGAAATAATTTACCCAAATTTATCTTTTCTAATATTGTGTAAAAAGTAATATCTTTTCACAAATTTGTGAGTGGAGGAGTTAGCTTAGCATCCACTTGGCAAGTGATACGAGTACTGGTCATTCTCAAAGAAAGGCGAGTTTTAATTTCTAGTAGCAGAATCATAAGGCTCTTTGGAACCGTGTGCTTCCTTTAGATAAAAAATCTTTTATACAGACTGTCATTTTATTATAAGTAATTTGGTCAGTACTGCTGTGAGAAAAGTTTCATTAGATTTGATAATACATATTCTGGTAAGTTTGGGTGTGCAGTGTTCCATAGTGTAACTTGTTTAAATATTTGAATTATAAATACATTTTTGTTTACAGGGAAGAAGGACTTTATCATGGGCTCTATAAAGGTCTGTCTATGAACTGGATTAAAGGACCAATTGCTGTTGGCATCAGCTTCTCCACATTTGACACTCTTAAACTCTTCCTAGAACAAATGATAACAAGTAGATAGCAGCCTCATTTGTACACATTGGGAAAGTATTTTAATTGTTAGTTATATTAAATATTTACACTGGAATTGTGTGTGTATATATAATATATATATAAATATATATATATATATATATATATATATATATATATATATATATATATATATATATATATATATATATATATATATATATATATATATATATATGTATGTATGTATGTATGTATATGTCGTACCTAGTAGCCAGAACACACTTCTCGACCTACTATGCAAGGCCCGATTTGCCTAATAAGCCAAGTTTTCCTGAATTAATATATTTTCTCTAATTTTTTTCTTATGAAATGATAAAGCTACCCATTTCATTATGTATGAGGTCAAGTTTTTTATTGGAGTTAAAATTAACGTAGATATATGACCGAACCTAACCAACCCTACCTAACCTATCTCTATAGGTTAGGTTAGGTAGCTGAAAAAGTTAGGTTAGGTAGTCGAAAAAACATTAATTCATGAAAACTTGACTTATGAGGCAAATTGGGCCTTGCATAGTAGGCTGAGAAGTGCGTTCTGGCTACTAGGTACGACATATATATATAGATATAGATATAGATAGATATATATATATATATATATATATATATATATATATATATATATATATATATATATATATATATATATAGATAGATATATATATATATATATAGATATATATATATATATATATATATATATATATATATATATATATATATATATTAGTATATTTTGGTAGCAGTCTTTCCTGTAGACATATTTTATTAAATATGACCGAAAAAGTAAGATTAATAATTCTAACACGAATTTTCTCAATCTTTCGTACATTATGCTTCACTGTTAGAGGTAAATCAAAAATCACTTCTCCAAAATTCATTTTTATTTCTAGTCTGACGCGACACGGGCGCGTTTCGTAAAACTTATTACATTTTCAAAGACTTCACAAATACACAACTGATTAGAACTTGCGTTTCCCTGATTTTATATCTACATTTGAGTGAGGTGGGAAGGGTGATGTGGCATTACATTTGAGTAAGGTGGGAAGGATGATGTGGCATTAGAGGATATTAATAGGGTATTAAAAGTATCAACACAAGACAGAACACGAAACAATGGATATTGAATAGAAGTGTTTGTAGAAAGCCTATTGGTCCATATTTCTTGATGCTTCTATATTGGAGCGGAGTCTTGAGGTGGGTAGAATATAGTTGTGCAATATTTGGCTGTTGATTGCTGGTGTTGACTTCTTGATGTGTAGTGCCTCGCAAACATCGAGCCGCCTGCTATCGCTGTATCTATCGATGATTTCTGTGTTGTTTACTAGGATTTCTCTGGCGATGGTTTGGTTATGGGAAGAGATTATATGTTCCTTAATGGAGCCCTGTTGTTTATGCATCGTTAAACGCCTAGAAAGAGATGTTGTTGTCTTGCCTATATACTGGGTTTTTTGGAGCTTACAGTCCCCAAGTGGGCATTTGAAGGCATAGACGACGTTAGTCTCTTTTAAAGCGTTCTGTTTCGTGTCTGGAGAGTTTCTCATGAGTAGGCTGGCCGTTTTTCTGGTTTTATAGTAAATCGTCAGTTGTATCCTCTGATTTTTGTCTGTAGGGATAACGTTTCTATTAACAATATCTTTCAGGACCCTTTCCTCTGTTTTATGAGCTGTGGAAAAGAAGTTCCTGTAAAATAGTCTAATAGGGGGTATAGGTGTTGTGTTAGTTGTCTCTTCGGAGGTTGCATGGCTTTTCACTTTCCTTCTTATGATGTCTTCGATGAAACCATTGGAGAAGCCGTTATTGACTAGAACCTGCCTTACCCTACAGAGTTCTTCGTCGACTTGCTTCCATTCTGAGCTGTGGCTGAGAGCACGGTCGACGTATGCGTTAACAACACTCCTCTTGTACCTGTCAGGGCAGTCGCTGTTGGCATTTAGGCACATTCCTATGTTTGTTTCCTTTGTGTAGACTGCAGTGTGGAAACCTCCGCCCTTTTCCATGACTGTTACATCTAGAAAAGGCAGCTTCCCATCCTTTTCCGTCTCGTAAGTGAAACGCAGCACGGAACTCTGCTCAAATGCCTCCTTCAGCTCCTGCAGATGTCTGACATCAGGTACCTGTGTAAAAATGTCGTCAACATACCTGCAGTATATGGCCGGTTTCAAGTTCATGTCGACTAAGACTTTTTGCTCGATGGTACCCATGTAGAAGTTTGCAAACAGGACACCTAGGGGAGAACCCATAGCGACCCCATCTACTTGCTTATACATGTGCCCATCCGGGCTCAAGAAGGGTGCCTCTTTAGTACAAGCTTGGAGTAGTTTCCTCAGAATACTTTCTGGCATGTCAAGAGGAGTACAGGCTGGATCACGATACACTCTGTCGGCTATCATTCCGATTGTCTCGTCCACAGGTACGTTGGTAAACAGCGATTCTACGTCCAACGAGGCTCTTATCCCTGTGGCCCGTGCGCCCCGCAGTAAGTCCACAAATTCCTTTGGAGACTTCAGGCTGAAGGCGCAAGGAACATAAGGAGTCAGCAGGCCGTTGAGTCGCTTCGCCAATCTGTACGTGGGTGTGGGTATCTGGCTAATGATTGGCCGAAGTGGGTTTCCAGGCTTGTGCGTCTTGACATTTCCATACGCATATCCAGGTTTATATTCCCCAATGATCTTTGGCAGGTGGAGTCCGGATTTCTTGGCGTTCACAGTTTCGATCAGTTTGTTGACCTTTGCTTTTAATTCGGCTGTAGTGTCCTTCGTTACCCTTTGGAACTTAGTTTGGTCAGAGAGTATGATGTTCATTTTCGCCAGATATTCGTCTTTTTTAAGAATGACATATATTGGCGACTTGTCACCTCTCCTGACAACTATCTCCTTGTTCTCACGAAGGCTTTTAGCTGCCGCTCTAAGCTCGGGGGACAGTATGGTGCTTCTGTAGTTGCCTCGATTCTTTCCTCCTTCTGCAATAAGTTCTGCTTGTAAGGTATCTTTGGTAGTGACCTTCTTTTGTGTCTCGAGGTCGAATATGTCGTCCAACAGAATTTCCAACTCCACTTTCCGGGCCATTTCACTCGGTCTGGACATAACATGACAGTTTATGCCCAGATTTAGGAGAGTGACTTGGTCCTCAGTGAGGTTAATTCCTGCAAGGTTCAGGAAGCCATCTCTTGGTCGTGGAATTGCCATAGGTCCTCCATATAATGTTGTTAGTTTCTTCTTTTCCACAGCTCATAAAACAGAGGAAAGGGTCCTGAAAGATATTGTTAATAGAAACGTTATCCCTACAGACAAAAATCAGAGGATACAACTGACGATTTACTATAAAACCAGAAAAACGGCCAGCCTACTCATGAGAAACTCTCCAGACACGAAACAGAACGCTTTAAAAGAGACTAACGTCGTCTATGCCTTCAAATGCCCACTTGGGGACTGTAAGCTCCAAAAAACCCAGTATATAGGCAAGACAACAACATCTCTTTCTAGGCGTTTAACGATGCATAAACAACAGGGCTCCATTAAGGAACATATAATCTCTTCCCATAACCAAACCATCGCCAGAGAAATCCTAGTAAACAACACAGAAATCATCGATAGATACAGCGATAGCAGGCGGCTCGACGTTTGCGAGGCACTACACATCAAGAAGTCAACACCAGCAATCAACAGCCAATTATTGCACAACTATATTCTACCCACCTCAAGACTCCGCTCCAATATAGAAGCATCAAGAAATATGGACCAATAGGCTTTCTACAAACACTTCTATTCAATATCCATTGTTTCGTGTTCTGTCTTGTGTTGATACTTTTAATACCCTATTAATATCCTCTAATGCCACATCATCCTTCCCACCTTACTCAAATGTAATGCCACATCACCCTTCCCACCTCACTCAAATGTAGATATAAAATCAGGGAAACGCAAGTTCTAATCAGTTGTGTATTTGTGAAGTCTTTGAAAATGTAATAAGTTTTACGAAACGCGCCCGTGTCGCGTCAGACTAGAAATAAAAATGAATTTTGGAGAAGTGATTTTTGATTTACCTCCAACAGTGAAGCATAATGTACGAAAGATTGAGAAAATTCGTGTTAGAATTATTAATCTTACTTTTTCGGTCATATTTAATAAAATATATATATATATATATATATATATATATATATATATATATATATATATATATATATATATATATATATATATATATATATATATATATATATATATATATATATATATATATATATATATATATATATATATATATATATATATATTTTGTCATCATAGTTGTTTTTAACATCCTAGTATAGAATTCCATTCCCCCCCCCCCCCCCCCCAATGCAGGTTAATAAGTTTGTTCATGGTGTAAAAGATAATTAATATTAAATTAATTTAGTGTTGCATTGAAAGTCAGTAGTAATTATTAGTTTGATAACCTTTCATGATGTTCATTACATAGTACAACATTGGTATTGTATCAACCAGGTATATCAACCAGGTATTGGGCTGTATTTAGGGATTTTTCATTCTACCAGAAAGGGCTGAAAATATAGCAGTGGAAATACTGTGTTAATTCAGATTGATCAAGCAATATATAAAGTTAATAGATTATTGTAATGTAGCATGGTTAGACAGTATTTTAGTTTTCCAATGGTTTACCGATTGCTATTTATATAATTCTTCAAAGTAGGTATTGCATTTTTGTAATAATCATCATGTAAACTCTAAGCTGGCACCTTTGGGCAAGTGCTACTTCATTTTTTTTTTAATATTTCAACAAAGAAAATGAGGGAAGTGTTGTTCTGTGTATAATTTTTTAATTTCAAAAAATGAAGAGCTTCAATTTGTATAAAGTACTATTTCACTATATTGTTACTACTGACAGATTTTGTTCTTAATTTGAGTACTGTTGTATAAACTTGCCTTGTACTTTATCTCCCTCTAATGTGTGTGTGTGTGATGGTGAGGTACATCTGTGTATTGTAGTGATGGTGAGGTATATCTGTGTGTTGTAGCGATGGTGAAGTTTATCTGCATGTTGTAGTGATGGTGAGGTACAACTGCTTGTTGTATCAATATCAATCAATAAT